GATTTCAGCCATACAGAAAGACTTTTTGAGGGGACCTGAATTCAGCATTAACTCTTGGATATGCTGTGTCTTTAGAGAGCATGCCTCCTGGTGTGAGTGTTTATGATCATCTACCTTGGTTCCTTGGGTTTAAATCTGGCTGTGTTGTGTATGGTCATAACTGGTCAAGTTTGTTGGGCCATGGCTTGCGTCCACCCTCCTTGCCTTGGGATGAGCTCAGGGGCCTCTCAGCAGCCTTTGGGAGAGTCACTAAGAGTCACAAGGTGGAAGCTGGATATGCAAGCTAATTATTTGTCTCCTCTTCCAGTCGATATTCTGGAGATGTTTACTTGACAATTATACAGGAGAGGCAGATGCTGTGTGGAGGGAGAGAGGGGGCTCTACCTCACCTCTCTCACCCTTGTTGAACTCAGATCTTTTCCACCTCTCTCTCTCAGAGCAGCTGGACATGAAGGGAGAGACTTGCAGGAGGGAGCCACTGGGCTTCTCAGCTAGCACTGTGCAGGGTGGTAGCCCCAGCCACTTGTGAGTGTCTGAAGTGTGTCCAGTGTGAGTCTGGAACTGAACTTGTAATTGTACTTAGTTTTGATCTGAAAATGACATAGCCATGTGTGGCTCCTGGCTGCCAAATGGACAACTCTGAGACTCCAGCTCACCCATGTTGGGCAGTTTGAGTCACTCCATCCCCCTCAATAGGCAAAAGCCAAATCACTTGGCATGAGGAGGAGAAGCCTACAGTTACCCCTAGGGTGATCTGTAACCACTTCCCCACCAGCGTCAACCTTTCTAGAACATCACTGAGCAAATACTTCCAAACCCCCAGGGTAAGGAGGAAGCCAACAAATTGCCTGCCTGGGCAGTGGCCTCACCTGTGCCCCGCTGGGCCTGTGCTCTGCTCACTGCACTGCCTACTTCACACTCTCTAACGAATTAGACCCTCACTTCTCCCTAGATCTGTAGTTTCCCCCTTGGGACCAGGTCACATTTGTTCCCTGCATGCAACCCAGGGTCACAGCACTGAGATTGGAGTGCTGCATTTCTTCCTGTGACATAGAAGTGATCCAGGAAAGCCGTCATGAAGAGTGTGAGTTCTGGAGTCAGGTTCTTACGTTAGAATCTGGCTTCTCGGCTTTCTAACAGCACCACCTGGGACAAATGACATCTCTATGCCTTTGCTTTTACACCTATGAGACAATTACACCTCTGTTGTCATAGGATGATGAGCTAAGTAAACCCAAGCAGTGTAATGGGTCTGTAGTTACTGCTCGACTGTTTCCTCCTGTTTTGATGACCATGAACACGATCATGAAGTGTTCTGGGAGATTATTTGTAGTGGTGATTCTTATGCATGTCCACAAGAGGGCAGCCTGAAATCATGCATGTGGGTGGAACAAGCAGCCTTTGACTTGTAACGCCTCCAGGTTTTGTTGGCGGTCTCAGATGAACAGGGCCCTTTTTCTTCTCAGTTTTCCTTCCTTTCCTCTGCTAGAAGCACACTTTCAGCAGTTCTCAGGCAGACCTTAGATATGGGGCAGGTCTGTTACCTGGAAGGTGGCGTGGGCAGCACAGAGTGACGTCCAGGCCCTGACAGGATAGGCAATTGGTGTGGGTGCTGGTGGAAGCATCTATCCAGGCGTCCCAGCCTTTTTTCTGTAGCTTTTCACCAGAACCCTTTCTTACGCGTCAACCTCTTGAGGTGGAGACTAGAACCTGGAAGTGTTTAGAGAAGAGAGAAACTTGGTTTTCTGTCCCTGCTCCCCTTCTAGCTTCATGCCTGCCTTTGAGCATTATGTGTGTACCTTGGGCCACCGTGTAAGGGACAGTAGTTGGAACTGGGTGACCCAGAGATGCGTCAACCACACATGGCTCTGGAGCTCGGCAGGGGAGACTGAGTTACAGAGAACGAACTCTGTGGGGAAGCAGGGTGAGAGAAGGGCTCCTCGCATCATGTGGGAGCACAGAGAGTCACATATTTTGGGGCCGTGTGGTCTTGAAGTGGGTGGGATTTAAAGAGGGGGATAGTCCGGGTGTGGTGGCTCATGCCTGTAATACCAACACTTTGGGAGGCAGAGATGAGAGAATTGCCTGAGTCCAGGGATTCAAGACCAGTCTGGACAACTTGGCAAGACCTCGTCTCTACAATCAATCAAAATATTAGCTGGGCATGGTAGTGTGTGCCTGTGGTTCCAGCTACTTGGAAGGCTGAGGTAGAAGGATTGCCTAAGGCCAGCAGGTCGAGGCTGCAGTTGCTGTGAGCATGCCACTGCACTTCAGCCTGGGAGACAGAGTGAGACTCTGACTCAAACAATTAAAATTAAAATTGAAATTTTTTTTAAAAAAAGGATAGAATGAGGCACAGTGTGAGCCAGAAGGCACATGGGAGAAAGCACAGTGCTGAGATCACATTGGGAAGAGAGTTTGGAGTCAGATACGGCGGGG